AGCGGTCTAATCAACCCTCTTGGCCTCGGTGATCAAAGCCGCGTTCGGCGGAATGCCAAGGATTTCATCAGCACTTTTGCCGCTAAAAGAGACGCATTTTAGTGTGAAGCTTAAAAAGTGTTGGGGATAAAGTAGCACATAGGCGTCCACTGCACTTGGGGGATCGTAGATTGATGCTGGTGGTTGGGTGAATTAAATTTATCTGGCAATGTATGACCGAAGCCAAGACACCAACTTGTTCTCTTCTTGGTTAACGCCTTTCATCGCTCAAACATGTCCGCATGCCAAGGCATAAACAAAACAGTATTTTCTGCGAAGGAAGCGTACCGGCAATTGCAACGGAAACTACAATGACCATTTCTGGCTTAGCGAGTCAGCCAGTTTTACCCTAATCCAGCACTGTCGCACCTGAGATTTGACCCCCCCCCCGTCACGGGTTAGGTGTTCTGTTGATTTTGATCGAGGAATAATACCTCTGCTGGAATTGCGTTCACTGTAATCGGGTCATTGGACGTGCCCGGCCCCCCTCCCTGGACCTCCATTTACAGCCCTCGTAGGCCACCGCAGCATACCGACCACCATAAATGCTTATTCCTGCCTCCATGGCCTTGGCCGGTACTCTCTGGACATGCTTCTGTTCCCTGTACAACTAATTACAGGAGCTTTAGATTGACCACAAAGGCATATCCCGTAAACTAATCGCTCAGTGCAAATCTACCATGAAGGAGTCTTTCTTTATTGGCCCATGTATTTAAGTGACCAAGGACTGCCACTTCTAACTTTCTTTGTTTTGCCTAATATGCAAGATGCGGACGCTAAAGCTTTCTGAAGGAAGTAGATAAAGTGGATGCAGTAGCAAAACGCCCTTTCTGGATTCAGATTAGAGTGCGGTCCAAATAGGATATTTTGGAATGGAATCAATCTTCGTCTACTACATCAGGAAGATTTAAATGAAGTCCTAACTGAAAAATACTCATAATTTGTCCTAATGAATCGACTCATTAAATGAATACCG